ATGTGTGTACATGATGTTTATGTATGTGTGTGTACATGATGTTTATGTATGTGTGTGTACATGATGTTTATGTATGTGTGTGTACATGATGTTTATGTGTGTGTACATGATGTTTATGTGTGTGTACTCGATGTTTATGTATGTGTGTACATGATGTTTATGTGTGTGTACATGATGTTTATGTATGTGTGTGTACATGATGTTTATGTGTGTGTGTGTACATGATGTTTATGTGTGTGCACATGATGTTTATGTGTGTGTACATGATGTTTATGTGTGTGTACATGATGGTTATGTGTGTGTACATGATGTTTATGTGTGTGTGTGCATGATGTTTATGTGTGTGTACATGATGGTTATGTGTGTGTACATGATGTTTATGTGTGTGTGTACATGATGTTCATGTGTGTGTGTACATGATGTTCATGTGTGTGTGTACATGATGTTCATGTGTGTGTGTACATGATGGTTATGTGTGTGTACATGATGTTTATGTGTGTGTGTACATGATGTTTATGTGTGTGTACATGATGGTTATGTGTGTGTACATGATGTTTATGTGTGTGTGTACATGATGTTCATGTGTGTGTGTACATGATGTTCATGTGTGTGTGTACATGATGTTCATGTGTGTGTGTGTACATGATAGTTATGTGTGTGTACATGATGTTAAGTGTGTGTACATGATGTTTATGTGTGTGTGTACATGATGTTTATGTGTGTGTGTACATGATGTTTATGTGTGTGTGTACATGATGTTCATGTGTGTGTGCACATGATGTTTATGTGTGTGTGTACATGATGTTTATGTGTGTGTGTACATGATGTTTATGTGTGTGTGTACATGATGTTTATATGTGTGTGTACATGATGTTTATGTGTGTGTGTACATGATGTTCATGTGTGTGTGCACATGATGTTTATGTGTGTGTGTACATGATGTTTATGTATGTGTACATGATGTTTATGTATGTGTACATGATGTTTATGTGTGTGTACATGATGTTTATGTATGAGTACATGATGTTTATGTGTGTGTACATGATGTTTATGTATGTGTACATGATGTTTATATGTGTGTGTACATGATGTTCATGTGTGTGTGTACATGATGTTTATGTATGTGTACATGATGTTTATGTGTGAGTACACGATGTTTATGTGTGTGTACATGATGTTTATGTATGTGTACATGATGTTTATGTGTGAGTACACGATGTTTATGTGTGTGTACATGATGTTTATGTATGTGTACATGATGTTTATATGTGTGTGTACATGATGTTCATGTGTGTGTGTACATGATGTTTATATGTGTGTGTACATGATGTTTATATGTGTGTGTACATGATGTTTATGTGTGTGTGTACATGATGTTCATGTGTGTGTGCACATGATGTTTATGTGTGTGTGTACATGATGTTCATGTATGTGTACATGATGTTTATGTGTGTGTACATGATGTTTATGTGTGTGCACATGATGTTTATGTGTGTGTACATGATGTTTATGTATGTGTACATGATGTTTATGTGTGAGTACATGATGTTTATGTATGTGTACATGATGTTTATATGTGTGTGTACATGATGTTCATGTGTGTGTGTACATGATGTTTATGTATGTGTACATGATGTTTATATGTGTGTACATGATGTTTATGTGTGTGTACATGATGTTTATGTGTGTGTACATGATGTTTATGTTTGAGTACATGATGTTTATGTGTGTGTACATGATGTTTATGTATGCGTACATGATGTTTATGTGTGAGTACATGATGTTTATGTGTGTGAGTACATGATGTTTATGTGTGTGTACATGATGTTTATGTATGTGTACATGATGTTTATGTGTGTGTACATGATGTTTATGTATGTGTACATGATGTTTATGTATGAGTACATGATGTTTATGTGTGTGTTCATGATGTTTATGTGTGTGTACATGATGTTTATGTATGAGTACATGATGTTTATGTGTGTGTACATGATGTTTATGTATGTGTACATGATGTTTATGTGTGTGAGTACATGATGTTTATGTGTGTGTACATGATGTTTATGTATGTGTACATGATGTTTATGTGTGTGTTCATGATGTTTATGTGTGTGCATATGATGTTTATGTGTGTGTACATGATGTTTATATGTGTGTACATGATGTTTATGTATGTGTACATGATGTTTATGTATGAGTACATGATGTTTATGTGTGTGTACATGATGTTTATGTATGTGTATATGATGTTTATGTATGTGTACATGATGTTTATGTGTGTGTACATAATGTTTATGTGTGTGTGTACATGATGTTTATGTATGTGTACATGATGTTTATGTGTGAGTACATGATGTTTATATGTGTGTACATAATGTTTATGTGTGTGTGTACATGATGTTTATGTGTGTACATGATGTTTATATGTGTGTACATAATGTTTATGTATGTGTACATGATGTTTATGTGTGTGTACATGATGTTTATGTGTGTGTACATGATGTTTATGTATGTGTACATGATGTTTATGTGTGAGTACATGATGTTTATGTGTGTGTACATGCTGTTTATGTATGTGTACATGATGTTTATGTATGTGTACATGATGTTTATGTATGAGTACATGATGTTTATGTGTGTGTACATGATGTTTATGTGTGTGTACATGATGTTTATGTATGTGTACATGATGTTTATGTGTGAGTACATGATGTTTATATGTGTGTACATGATGTTTATGTGTGAGTACATGATGTTTATGTATGTGTACATGATGTTTATGTGTGTACATGATGTTTATGTGTGAGTACATGATGTTTATGTGTGAGTACATGATGTTTATATGTGTGTACATGATGTTTATATGTGTGTACATGATGTTTATGTATGTGTACATGATGTTTATGTATGTGTACATGATGTTTATGTGTGTGTACATGATGTTTATGTATGTGTACATGATGTTTATGTGTGTGTACATGATGTTTATGTATGTGTACATGATGTTTATGTGTGAGTACATGATGTTTATATGTGTGTACATTATGTTTATATATCACATGACATGTAACATTGTTCGGAAAGTGATTTATATAACACAAAAAAATGTAGAAAAATCTCCTTCTAGCACCAGGATTCATGAAGAACTCACTCATATACTTACGAAACCTTTACATCTTTTCCTTAATTAAGGTGTCTTAGTTCGCAATTAAGAAACAGTGGATGAGAACCAACGAGCTTCTTAATAGCAATAGTAATCTTGGGTTGTGAAGTTTACTCACTTGTGAACTGTTTAATAAATGTAAACTAAGTAGCAATGATTGAGGAAAGATGTAAAGGTTTCGTAAGTGGAGACTTACGAAGAAATATTTAGACTTATTTACTTAGACTAAGTCTTACTTAGACTTACTTAGAATCCCGACCCAGGGCTCAGACTGTGAAGAATATGCACTTATTGACTTGTGAGAATAGTAGAAGTATTTAAGTAACAGTGGTAGAAGTCTTAAAGTAACAGTAGTAAAAGTATTAGAGTAACAGTGGTAGAAGTATTAAAGTAGCAGTGGTAGAAGTATTAAAGTAGCAGTAGTAGAAGTATTAAAGTAACAGTGGTAGAAGTATTAAAGTAGCAGCGGTAGAAGTATAAAAGTAACAGTAGTAGAAGTATTAAAGTAACAGTGGTAGAAGGATTTAAGTAGCAGAGGTAGAAGTATTAAAGTAGCAGTGGTAGAAGTATTAAAGTAGCAGAGGTAGAAGTATTAAAGTAGGAGAGGTAGAAGTATTAAAGTAGCAGAGGTAGAAGTATTAAAGTAGGAGAGGTAGAAGTATTAAAGTAACAGTGGTAGAAGTATTAAAGTAACAGTGGTAGAAGTATTAAAGTAACAGTGGTAGAAGTATTAAAGTAACAGTGGTAGAAGTATTAAAGTAGCAGTGGTAGAAGGATTTAAGTAGCAGAGGTAGAAGTATTAAAGTAGCAGTGGTAGAAGTATTAAAGTAGCAGCGGTAGAAGTATTAAAGTAACAGTGGTAGAAGTATTAAAGTAGCAGAGGTAGAAGTATTAAAGTAGCAGAGGTAGAAGTATTAAAGTAACAGTGGTAGAAGTATTAAAGTAGCAGTGGTAGAAGTATTAAAGTAGCAGAGGTAGAAGTATTAAAGTAGGAGAGGTAGAAGTATTAAAGTAACAGTGGTAGAAGTATTAAAGTAACAGTGGTAGAAGTATTAAAGTAACAGTGGTAGAAGTATTAAAGTAGGAGAGGTAGAAGTATTAAAGTAGTAGAGGTAGAAGTATTAAAGTAACAGTGGTAGAAGTATTAAAGTAGCAGTGGTAGAAGTATTAAAGTAGCAGAGGTAGACGTATTAAAGTAGGAGAGGTAGAAGTATTAAAGTAACAGTGGTAGAAGTATTAAAGTAACAGTGGTAGAAGTATTAAAGTAGCAGAGGTAGAAGTATTAAAGTAACAATGGTAAAAGTAGTGACAGTTCTTCTTAGATTACAGACATAGAAGAACAGGCTTCCCCCTAGACGGGAAGGACGGGTGAGCTGCTCCACCTACTTGTAGACAGGAGCCACGGACTGGTGAGCTGCTCCACCTACCTGTAGACAGGAGCCATAGACGGGTGAGCTGCTCCACCTACCTGTAGACAGGAGCCATGGACGGGAGAGCTGCTCCACCTACCTGTAGACAGGAGCCATAGACGGGTGAGCTGCTCCACCTACCTGTAGACAGGAGCCATAGACGGGTGAGCTGCTCCACCTACCTGTAGACAGGAGCCATGGACGGGTGAGCTGCTCCACCTACCTGTAGACAGGAGCCATGGACGGGTGAGCTGCTCCACCTACCTGTAGACAGGAGCCATGGACGGGTGAGCAGCTCCACCTACCTGTAGACAGGAGCCATGGACGGGTGAGCTGCTCCACCTACCTGTAGACAGGAGCCATGGACGGGTGAGCTGCTCCACCTACCTGTAGACAGGAGCCATGGACGGGTGAGGTGCTCCACCTACCTGTAGACAGGAGCCTCGCCGTCTGCGATGTACCAGAGGGTCAGGATCGGGGCGTCGTGGTCGTGGGCGCGAACGTTGCACGGAAGAGATGCGTTGAATCCGACTACTACACGAACGTCCTCCATCTCTTCCTCTTGCGTCTCTGTCAACACAAGAGGCCACTCTTTAGTCTCCTTCCTGAGTCTGTCAATACAAGAGGTCACTCTTTAGTCTCCTTCCTGAGTCTGTCAATACAAGAGGTCACTCTTTAGTCTCGTTCCTGAGTCTGTCAACACAAGAGGTCACTCTTTAGTCTCCTTCCTGAGTCTGTCAACACAAGGGGTCACTCTTTAGTCTCCTTCCTGAGTCTGTCAACACAAGGGGGCCACTCTTTAGTCTCCTTCCTGAGTCTGTCAACACAAGAGGTCACTCTTTAGTCTCCTTCCTGAGTCTGTCAACACAAGGGGCCACTCTTTAGTCTCCTTCCTGAGTCTGTCAACACAAGGGGTCACTCTTTAGTCTCCTTCCTGAGTCTGTCAACACAAGGGGTCACTCTTTAGTCTCCTTCCTGAGTCTGTCAACACAAGGGGTCACTCTTTAGTCTCCTTCCTGAGTCTGTCAACACAAAGGGTCACTCTTTAGTCTCCTTCCTGAGTATGTCAACACAAGAGGCCACTCTTTAGTCTCCTTCCTGAGTCTGTCAACACAAGGGGTCACTCTTTAGTCTTCTTCCTGAGTCTGTCAACACAAGGGGCCACTCTTTAGTCTCCTTCCTGAGTCTGTCAACACAAGAGGTCACTCTTTAGTCTCCTTCCTGAGTCTGTCAACACAAGGGGCCACTCTTTAGTCTCCTTCCTGAGTCTGTCAACACAAGAGGTCACTCTTTAGTCTCCTTCCTGAGTCTGTCAACACAAGAGGTCACTCTTTAGTCTCCTTCCTGAGTCTGTCAACACAAGAGACCACTCTTTAGTCTCCTTCCTGAGTCTGTCAACACAAGGGGTCACTCTTTAGTCTCCTTCCTGAGTCTGTCAATACAAGAGGCCACTCTTTAGTCTCCTTCCTGAGTCTGTCAACACAAGGGGTCACTCTTTAGTCTCCTTCTTGAGTCTGTTAACACAAGGGACCACTCTTTAGTCTCCTTCCTGAGTCTGTCAACACAAGGGGTCACTCTTTAGTCTCCTTCCTGAGTCTGTCAACACAAGAGGTCACTCTTTAGTCTCCTTCCTGAGTCTGTCAATACAAGACGTCACTCTTTAGTCTCCTTCCTGAGACTGTCAACACAAGAGGTCACTCTTTAGTCTCCTTCCTGAGTCTGTCAACACAAGGGGTCACTCTTTAGTCTCCTTCCTGAGTCTGTCAACACAAGGGGTCACTCTTTAGTCTCCTTCCTGAGTCTGTCAATACAAGAGGCCACTCTTTAGTCTCCTTCCTGAGTCTGTCAACACAAGGGCCACTCTTTAGTCTCCTTCCTGAGTCTGTCAATACAAGAGGTCACTCTTTAGTCTCCTTCCTGAGTCTGTCAACACAAGAGGCCACTCTTTAGTCTCCTTCCTGAGTCTGTCAACACAAGAGGCCACTCTTTAGTCTCCTTCCTGAGTCTGTCAATACAAGAGGTCACTCTTTAGTCTCCTTCCTGAGTCTGTCAACACAAGAGGTCACTCTTTAGTCTCCTTCCTGAGTCTGTCAATACAAGAGGTCACTCTTTAGTCTCATTCCTGAGTCTGTCAATACAAGAGGTCACTCTTTAGTCTCCTTCCTGAGTCTGTCAACACAAGAGGTCACTCTTTAGTCTCCTTCCTGAGTCTGTCAATACAAGAGGTCACTCTTTAGTCTCCTTCCTGAGTCTGTCAACACAAGAGGTCACTCTTTAGTCTCCTTCCTGAGTCTGTCAATACAAGAGGTCACTCTTTAGTCTCCTTCCTGAGTCTGTCAACACAAGAGGTCACTCTTTAGTCTCCTTCCTGAGTCTGTCAATACAAGAGGTCACTCTTTAGTCTCCTTCCTGAGTCTGTCAACACAAGAGGTCACTCTTTAGTCTCCTTCCTGAGTCTGTCAATACAAGAGGTCACTCTTTAGTCTCCTTCCTGAGTCTGTCAACACAAGGGGTCACTCTTTAGTCTCCTTCCTGAGTCTGTCAACACAAGAGGTCACTCTTTAGTCTCCTTCCTGAGTCTGTCAATACAAGAAACCACTCTTTAGTCTCCTTCCTGAGTCTGTCAATACAAGAGGCCACTCTTTAGTCTCCTTCCTGAGTCTGTCAACACAAGAGGTCACTCTTTAGTCTCCTTCCTGAGTCTGTCAACACAAGGGTCACTCTTTAGTCTCGTTCCTGAGTCTGTCAACACAAGAGGTCACTCTTTAGTCTCCTTCCTGACTCTGTCAACACAAGGGGTCACTCTTTAGTCTCCTTCCTGAGTCTGTCAACACAAGAGGTCACTCTTTAGTCTCCTTCCTGAGTCTGTCAATACAAGAGACCACTCTTTAGTCTCCTTCCTGAGTCTGTCAATACAAGAGGCCACTCTTTAGTCTCCTTCCTGAGTCTGTCAACACAAGAGGTCACTCTTTAGTCTCCTTCCTGAGTCTGTCAACACAAGGGTCACTCTTTAGTCTCGTTCCTGAGTCTGTCAACACAAGAGGCCACTCTTTAGTCTCCTTCCTGAGTCTGTCAACACAAGGGGCCACTCTTTAGTCTCCTTCCTGAGTCTGTCAACACAAGAGGCCACTCTTTAGTCTCCTTCCTGAGTCTGTCAACACAAGGGGCCACTCTTTAGTCTCCTTCCTGAGTCTGTCAATACAAGAGGCCACTCTTTAGTCTCCTTCCTGAGTCTGTCAACACAAGGGGCCACTCTTTAGTCTCCTTCCTCAGTCTGTCAACACAAGGGCCACTCTTTAGTCTCCTTCCTGAGTCTGTCAACACACTTTAGGTCCCGCCCTTAAATACTGAACGTAACGGTCCCTATAATTCCATTGTTAGAACTTGTAATGAAGTTGTTACATCTTGTTATAACGTTTTTATGACGTATTAGAAGCGTTGTTACAACTTACTATATTGGTTGTTACAATTGTTAGAAGGTGTTAAACCTTGTTCAAACGTTGTAGCAACGTTGTAGTTTGGTCGTGTGTGGCGGTATGGCCCATTTCGCTTATTAGAACTGCAGCATTGAGCATTTATACAAGCCTTTACGAAACCTGTGCATCTTTCTCAAATCATGGCGGCTTTGTTGACAGTTATTAAACAGTTTACGAGTTACGAGACTTCCCCAAGACTTCGTTAATATTAGTTTCAACAACTTCATTTTGTTTCGGAACTCACAAACTATTTGGTAAAGTCTAAACGAGTTCGCTGTGAGGGAGGTAAAATGTAGGACCTGCGGGCGGCTCCAAGCAACAGCCTGGTGGACCAAACTCTCACAAGTCAAGTCTGGCCTCGGGCCGGGCTTGGGGAGTAGAAGAACTCCCAGAACCCAATCAACCAGGTATCAACCAGGTATCAACCAGGTATCAACCAGGTATCAACCAGGTATCAACCAGGTATCAACCAGGTATCAACCAGGTATCAACCAGGTATCAACCAGGTATCAACCAGGTATCAACCAGGTATCAACCATTTACTAATATTTAATACAATAGGCAGATAATATTGCTGCTGTTTTATAATAAACAAATTCACTCATAGAAGATGTGGCACAGTTTTCCTAGGAAGAAAACGGGATTTACTATCTAGCTTATATCTGGCCAATAATATTTGATTTAGGATATATTCTGGTCAGGACACGTAGCAAGCTAGCCAACAGGGTATATATATTACTTGACTCTTATTCAATCAATATATACCAATATTTCCTCTGATAAAGCTGTCACTTGCCCTCTGACAGGTGTAATTGAAGAGGCAGAAGAATTAACAGTAGTTACCTAGTACACCAGTACACCGGTACACCGGTACACCAGTACAGGTACACACCAGTACAGGTGTTTAACAGGTGTTGATGCCAGCCTCAACCATCAGGATTATTTGGTGTGAACATTCTTGTTCATAACTGGTCGACCAGGTCCACTATATACAAGATAAGCTGGAGTTGTGTTAATTTTAATCAGTAACATATCTAGTCTAATACAATAGTGAATATCTACTAAAATATAATATATATGGTTGTCTACATATAAACTATAACCCCCCTCCCCCCCCTCCCCCTCCCCCCCCCCCCCCTCCCCTCCCCCCCCCCCCCCCCTCCCCCAGAATGTGTAAGGAAGCGATATGTGAGACATTTTTAAATATACAGTCCACTTTAACCCATCATAGTTTGCTATCGAAATAAATATAAATTAACGTAAAATATAAATTACTATATACATTAATATAAATTAAATATTTATAAATCTCACAGGTCAATTCCCCACATTTTATAACTAGGTGAATAAGTGGTTGATGAATCCTGGCTACTCATCATATGAGCAGTAAAACCCGTGTTAATGATGCTTTTAGTAGTACGAGCCCAACCGTTTTGGCTGTCAACGCTTGTCAGTCATACCTTGATGTTGACATTTCCACAAGAGAAGTCTCAGAAGTTTTGATTGATCAATGTGTTTCGAAAACAGCTCAATCTCAGGCCAAGTTAATCATGTTAATCAGCTTGGATTAAGCAACTTGCCAATCACCGGGATTCGAACCTGTCCATCCCTCCCCCCAAACACACACACACACACACACACACACACACACACACACACACACACACACACACACACACACACACACACACACACACACACACACACACACACACACACACACACATTCTGGCTGCGGGAAATGCACCTTACGACACGGGAAGACAGAAGAGTAAGGGGGGACATGATCACAACCTACAAAATCCTCAGGGGAATCGACCGGGTAAACAAGGATGAACTATTCAACACTGGTGGGACGCGAACAAGGGGACACAGGTGGAAGCTGAGTACCCAAATGAGCCACAGAGACGTTAGAAAGAACTTTTTCAGTGTCAGAGCAGTTAGTAAATGGAATGCATTAGGAAGTGATGTGGTGGAGGCTGACTCCATACACAGCTTCAAATGTAGATATGATAGAGCCCAATAGGCTCAGGAATCTGTACACCAGTTGATTGACGGTTGAGAAGCGGGACCAAAGAGCCAGAGCTCAACCCC